AGTAGTAGTAGTAGTAGTAGTTCTTTCCCTTTCATGCTTTAGCCGCCCACGAGGTCACGCTTGAACGATGGTCCGGCAGTACGTTTGGACCTGGATGACCTTGGAGGGGAGATCTGCCTGCTGGACCCCGAGAGAGAGGGTGGGGAGATGTGGGGAGAATGATCTTTCTGCGCCGACACATGTCATTCAGATCTACATAGAGGTTTCAGCTTTCAAAGAGGTGGCCGCGACCGGGCTTGCAATGCAGCTTGCTATCGGACCCGTCCAACTGCCCGTGGATTGTGAGAAGCTTCTGCATGGAATGCGGTGAAAAAAACGACAAGCTGCGAATTTGACTCCGGAATGGGCCACCGCAGGATTGGGGCAGGGGCCTGCCCTCGTCTGCAAGTGGGTCTTTTGCCCCCCAACCTGCCACTTGGTGAGAGGAGCCGCTTGGGGCTTATAGAGTCAAGGATGCTTAGCGTTTGGTGGCATGTTGGTACTTATCCCATGTTCCTCTTTCCACGGTGAGCTTTCTGCGTGCACCTGCAACATGATTCGAAAAATCGCATGTTTGGGTGCACAGACGGATCTGCACTGAGGTGATGAACCACAGCATGACGATCACCCTGGTGCAGGACTGCCTTCGACAATGCAGGCACTACCACAACGGCCCAAGCCGCAGCCTTGAGAGAAAATAAGCTGTGGCTAGCTTTTCAGCACATTTCGACTTTGTGACTCGCTGACGACCAGCTATGTTGCCACAGGACTGCTTCTCGCAGAAGAGCCTGGCTTGCCGCCTCGTGCCGATTGAGGAAAACCCCTTGGTGCAGCAGCTGCCGAAATCCGTACAGGACTTGATGCCGATGAAGCTCCAGAGCCGATCTGCCAAGATGTCAGGTTCACATTTGGATCCTCCAGCTTCAGGGTTGGCCCTGGGAAATTCCGCTCCTGGACCTTGCTGCCGTTGTGATCGGAGCGCAGACTACGAAACCAAACACCGCCTGCATTCATGGTTTTCGATCTGCGGATTTATAGATGGTGAGGATCCCGTTGGTGCGGACATCACGGACATCCCAGATGCTGTGGCAAACATCCAGGCACGTCGAGGGCTGCAGCTTTGGAGCTGAGATCCTCTCAACATCTAGCTGCCCCCTACCTAGACATAAGCGGTGAAATCGTCAACGCCTCAAGACCACGTAACACCCCCCACCCCTTCACTGTGTTTTGTCCTCTTTTCGAAGGTGGACTTCTGGGCCGAGGGCCGCCCTACCCGCGCCACGGCCCGGGCTCTTGGCGAGGCGCCGTTCTCGCAGTTGCCTTGTCATATGAAGTCGGGCCCTGTCTTACAGGTTTTGGCGAGTGTGTGTAGTGTATACATGGCTCGTCACGAAGTTCTCGCTGAGGGTGCACCTGGGTTTTATCATGAGATGCTGGTATAGGGCACACAGTTCCAGGATGTTGGTCCTTCCGGCGCTAGGGTGGGACCTTCGTCGAGGTCCTCGAGTTGACTAGCGGTCCAACACCTAGCCTAGCGGTGGGAACCAGCAAACCTCTTAATTCAGCCTGCAGATGGCTGGACAAAGACTCTGAAGATGACTCTGCCCTAAGTCCTAAAACAGGGAAACGGAGTGCGAGCACCGACCCCAGGTGCTCCTGAGCCGGCTACAGAGAAAAAGCTGCGGTCAGCTTCCGGCTACATCCGTGGATGTTCTCGTGACCGGCTGCGAGGTGGAATCCCTCAGAGTCTCGAGGGGTTTTGATGGAGCGTTTTGAGTCGGGTTATTGGGGGGTCCTACACAGTTGGAGCCTTCAGCTTCATCACAAAGCAATCGAAACAGCTTGCCGGAAAAGGCCTTTGGCTGCCATGTGGGTATCCGACAGGACACCTGCAGCCCTTCTGGTCCTTTCAGAGGCCCCGGTCTGAACTAAGTCGTGAACTTCGGACAATTCCACCGCCATTCTCGCCCACGATCTGCGTTGCCGCAGACCCATATCCCACCTGCACTCAGAATGAGCACATATAGAAGCCGTGGCAATCACATCACTCGTCCGAAAGGCCCCATGACCAACCTTCAGGATAGAGTCCGAAAACCCATCAGTTTTCAAGCCTAAAGATTTCTGCTACTCCTTGAGCCCCGGATGGTCCCGGCTGTTGTGAGAGCTTTTTGGAGGTAAGCCTCTGGGTCGGCGAGCAATTTGCCGCAGACCTGAGGAGCAGGGTTGCAAACTCAACATGTTTGCTTCGAGCTGTTTCCGCTCTTGACAAATCCGGTCGTGCATGGTGCAAGGGACTCTCACGATGCCGGTGCAGAAGTCTACCTGCCGGCGCACTTAAGCGCCGGAAAAGGGTCGACTTTCGCACAAGTCGAATCTGCAAGCTGGAGCAGGCTAGGTGTAAACTCTACATCACTGCCGTGCAGTCTCAAAAAATTGAATTCACCAGCTGTTGTATGTCAAATCGCTGTGGCATTGATCCATAAATGCTTGCAGGAGCCAATTAGCTACAGTTTGTCAAAAGACGCAAGAGCTAAACCCTAAAGCCCTCTCTTCACTCCACCTGCCGCCAGCACTCTCATCATGATGCGTGCTGCCAGACTCCCGGCGTGGACAACGAAGGTCAAGAACACATTCATCGAGTTTGATGAAGACGACGAGCCTCGCTACTGTCGGAGCAGTTCCGCGCCGCCGCGCATGTTGAGGATCGCGCCGGAGGATCCACCCATTCACTCTCAGATCGCTCCGGCGGTCCGGAGGATCCACCCGTTCAATCTCAGATTGCTCCGGAGGATCCACCCGTTCAATCTCAGATTGCTCCGGAGGATCCACCCGTTCAATCTCAGCTAAATCCCGACGCCCCCGAGTTCGACTTTGCGGGAGTCAGTGGCGAGACGCAGTTCGGGTCAGAGTCCTACGTGTACTTGCCGCTTCCGGAGTACACCGTGCAGGAGTGGTGTGACTATCTCTACTACCTGCAGGCAAACCGGGTTCTGCTGACACCCGAGTATGCTGCCTACATCTGTGAGCTGACCCGTCTGCTGGGCATGCCGATGATGGAGTACCTGGATCCGCAAACCATTCAAGTCCACCCAACTGGGAGGCCGGG